TTGGTGAAAGAAAAATCTGTGTTCACAATATTCCACAGTGTCCCATTGTCTTAATCTGGTCATTCACTACATGGAATCTTTCTTCTTTTTCCTGGAGATGTACTCTCCCTAAGCACACCAGTCTCCTGCTCCAACCTGAAACAGTATGTTCTAGATTGTCTGCACAGCTTACATGCTAACACTTCCCTTTCCTCATTCCTGAGTTTGATGCTTTCTTGGATTTCAGATTTTCCATGGATTTCTCCCATACACTACTAAAGTAACACCTTAAACAATTTTTCAAGGGAAAAATGCATGGATGGTAAGACTTCATTTGGCCTTCACATTCAGTTGACAAAGTTAGCAGAGTATAAAATCATAAATTCAAAATCTTCTTCCCTCAGAATTTTAGAATTATCCCTCCACTGTTTTCTCTCCTCCCTCTTTATCCTCACCCTAATGATTGAAAGTAAGATTCCTCCTCTTTCTTTGCCACTATACTCTCCTCCTATTCTTTATATTCTTACATTCTCATCATCATATTTCTGACAAATTTTGTAATCTTGTCTTTATTCTTTGTGTGTAACTTTCATGTATCTGAGTTCAGTTCACTTCAGTTCAGTCACTCAGTTGTGTCCACCTCTTTGCAACCCCATGAACCACAGCACGCCAGGCCTCCCTGTCCATCACCAACTCCCGGAGTCCACCCAAACCCATGTCCATTGAGTCGATGATGCCATCCAACCATCTCATCCTTTGTTGTCCCCTTCTCCTCCTGCCCTCAATCTTTCCCAGCATCAGGGTCTTTTCAAATGAGTCGGTTCTCCACATCAGGTGGCCAAAGTATTGGAGTTTCAGCATTACATCAGTCCTTCCAAGGACTGGTTGGATCTCCTTGCAGTCCAAGGGACTCTCAAGAGTCTTCTCCAACACCACAGTTCAAAAGCGTCAATCCTTCTGTGCTCAGCTTTCTTTATAGTCCAACTCTCACATCCATACATGACCACTGGAAAAACCATAGCCTTGACTAGACGGACCTTTGTTGACAAAGTAATATCTCTGCTTTTTAATATGCTATCTAGGTTGGTCATAACTTGCCTTCCAAGGAGTAAGCATCTTTTAATTTCATGGCTACAATCACCATCTGCAGTGATTTTAGAGCCCAGAAAATCACTGAAGAAAAGTATCTGGGTTAGGCTATGGTAAACATTTCTAGTCAGAAGAAATTTTCTTTTATCAGATTTGGAAATTTTTGTTTTTATTATTTATTTGATTATTTTCTCCTTTTCACATTTTCTGTTTTCTATTCTGAGACTCCTCTCCAGTGAGATGTTCAGAAATTGGGCCTTTTGGAAGAATCCTCTATTTCTCTTATCATTTTTTTCATGTTTTCTACTTCTTATCCCTGTATATTAGAAGGCTTGATTAATTTTATCTTCTAACTCTTTCATTAAACCATATTTTGGTAATACTCTTTTTTAAATATCCAACAGCTTCTGGTTTCTCTGATCATTCATGTTTAAAATAATTTTCTTCTGTTTATGTGACTATAATAAAATTTGAATTTTCCTAAATATAGAAATTTTCATTTAGTATTCTTTTTTGTTCCTTGAATTATCTTTGCTTGCCCTGGGTTTTGTTGTTTTGTTAATTATGATCTTTCTCTTCTACGCTGCTGGTTTTACTCACATACCTAATGACCTCTACCTGTCCCTTTATTTTTAATAATAAATAAATAGGCTGATGATTCAAAGTAGTTGGGTGGTTTTCTCTGCTGTTGCTTTTATATATCTATTTTTTGAAAGGGTAGGAAGACAGAAATCTGAGTCATCAGGCAGAATTTGTCAAAGGGCAAGTTTGGCGTTGGAGAGTACAGATAAGAAGTTTACCTATTCCCCTACAGATGGACTTTTAGGTTGCTTCCATTTCTTTACTCTTAACCACAACGCTCTAGTGAAGGCTTGCACACATCTTCTCGGGTAACCCAGAAGTGGGCAGGAGAATACACGTCTTCACCTTGCCACACAGCTCTCCACAATGGATAAAATGAATTATGGTATATTCATACAATGGAATTCTGTGCAGCACTTAAAATGAATGCAATGTTGAGTGAAAAAGCAAGTTGCAGAATGATTTGTACGGTATGATGCCATTTATATGATGTTTTGAAATGTGCAATGATATGCATACACATAATTAATACATAGTATGTAGTAACAGTGTTTTTGAAGTGCATGGGCATGTTAAAATACCAATGGAGTGGCTGTCTCTGGGGAGGGAGGGAGGAAAAGGGATTGGAGCTGGGGAAGATGGTTCACAATGGGTGTCACCTGTAACAAACCTGGCAAAAAGATCTGAAGTAAATATGGCAAAATGTTAAGGTCTTGCTAAGCTGGTACACGGTATTGTTTATGTTAATGTTATTCTCTGTACTTTTATGTATATCTGATACAAAGTGTAATAGTGTGCATAAGATGAAAAGAAACACCAAGCATTAGGATAAAGTAAGTGAAAAATAATCTTGAAAGGGAAGAAATAAAAATATTTTAAGGCTAAAAAAAAAAAAAAAAGAAGAAGTTTACCTAGAGGTTTAGGTCCCCAGATGTCAACGTAAATAGCGTTTTACTCTAGACTGTAAAATCCACCTCAGGCAACCTCAGCTCTTCCTCAGAAAAATTGTTTAACTGTTCTAGAAAAAAACCCTTTGCTGTATTATTATTATTTTTTGCATGTGGGTAAATTCCAGCTGCCTGTTTAGCATACAGGCATGTGCAGGGGGGGCTTGCAAGAAGACCAGAAGAAGCAATTTTTATAGGAGATACCCACAATGGTCCTGATTTTCTTACCCCCAAGATTTTCACTGAGATTGGCTCCTCCCTCCCCTGTAGCCCTTACTTAGAGTGAGCTGGATCATAGTTTCTTTTGCTCTGTTTAGTCAGCCATTCACTTCATCTACTCTCTGCTGTCCAGAAATGTGTTCTATTGTTGCTTTGCTGAAGAGTACATGTGATGGCAAATATTGTGGCAGCCATTTTTGGAAAATACAATCTCCTACACTAGTAAATGCTACAGAAATACCTACTAGTCAATTTCAGCACAGCACAAAAATGGAACAGGTTTCCGGTAAAGGGAGGGGGTCAGACAAAAATAACTCATTACACCTTTATATTCCAACTCAAGAATTGAGTTAAAATACACTTGTTCAGAAGACATTTATTCAGAACAGAAGCTTTCCTACTGTTTATTTTTTGCCCATAATTTGCTGGCCTTTATTATTTGCACTTTATATTCACTAAGACCTTTAGGATCTTGGAATTCAACTTAAATACTTCAATTCAACTTAAGGAAAATCTACTGATACTCTGTTTCAAGAGAAGTTCTAAGTAGGCTCACAATTTTTATATTCTCTTCTCTCTGACTCAAAAACGAGTATTCCCTAATTTAAACATATAACCTATCTTGTAGTTTTTATCAGCACATAATATGGTACCTTGAATGACTTGATTGTAAGGTCTCTGGGTAACGAACAAGTCTTTCCCATTTTTATATGCTACCTAATGCCCAACACTTAATAAGCATTAGGAGTTTGCCTTAAAAGCTCAGTTACTAAATTTTATATCTTTTGGTAAGAGAAGAGTTCCTCAGGCATATTTATTTTTGTCTTAGCTAGAGTCTTAAACGTGTTGCTAAATGATTTCTCAACCTACAAAATAGCAGTGCAGTAAAATAAAAGCACTCTCTCCTAGACTATGAAGGGGGAAATGACTTAAGTCGCCAGTCAACAGGCATAAGACCAAAAAAATCATCAAAAACAGCCTGAACTTTTAAAAGCACATTACTATTAGTCTATTTAGAATATTCATTGTGGACAAACAAGCACTAGTAATTTCTAAAAATCTCCCTGTACACAGGCCCACTATCATAAACCATGGTTGGGTGAGAGCCAAGAACAGGAATTTGGGGGTCCAAATGCTTAGATTTACACTCTGTCTCTTCATTAAATGGTTATATGGCTTTGAAGATGTTTTTTTCCCTATCTGAGCTTTGATTTCCTTATATTTAAGAAAAAAAAATATGATTCTTATGGCTCCTAGAGCATAGTAAAACTCAATCAATATTAGTTATTGCTTTGCTCTTAGTCTTCTACACAAAAACTACTTTGAGCTCCCTTGGTGGCTCAGATAGTAAAAAATCTGCCTGCAATGCAGGAGACCTGGGTTCGATCCCTGGTATGGGAAGATCCCCTGGAGAAGGACATGGTAACCCACTCCAGTATTTTTGCCTGGAGAATCCCCTTGGATAGAGGAGCCTGGAGGCTTACGGTCCATGGGGTCGCAAAGAATCTGTCATGATTGAGTGAATAAAGCACAGCGCACAGAACAGATAACTTCATTTTATTAAAAGAATGGGCAACATTTTGGAAAGATTTTCATCTCAAATGAATCAAAGGAAAAAGAACAGGAAGTAGGAGAGGAAACTGATGTTTATATAACAGCTATCATTTTTCAGCAGCTGTTGTGGTCCAGTGACTACAAGAGAAATTAGATATAAACTTCCCCATTAAAAAAAACACTATCAAAGGTATTTTTGTCTTTTATGTACGAGGGAATTAAAGTTCAGAGATAATCCCATTTATTTTTTCAATCATTCAGGTAACATTTATTGAGAGTCTACTGTCTACAAAATATTAGCATAAGAGACAGAGCCTCTAGACCTGGATCCTCTTCTACCCAACATAATTTATTTCAAAACTTTATTTAAGTGAAATTATTTTCTATACTATATAAGTGACTTTTATGTATATATCAAATATAAATTTTAATATGATAAACTGATGTTCTCATAGTTATGAAAACATGCTCAATAAATGTTCAAAGGATATCTACATATGAAAAAACATGAGAAAGATAAAAAGTATAACAGAAATATAAACCCTTTGAATACAAGTATTTTAATAAGCAAATCAAATCTCATACAACACTGTCTAAAAGGTGTCCAAATTATAAGTCATGATCTTATGACATTAAATATTTCCTAAAATAGTACGTATTTTAGGAATCTCAAAATATCTGTCATCATCCAAGAAGTTTCTTTATGATATCATCCTCATAGGATTCAGTTACACAAATACAACATTTTATTTTTTCAGGAAAGGAATGGTTTACCACCCCATTGCTTGCTAGATGTTCTGGGTATTTTGCTAGTTGTTACCATCTTTAAATTTGGCAATTCTGAAATGATGTAGGCAAAGGACTAGATTCCAGTGTCATTTTAATGGAACATATAATAAATATGATTTATTGGCTTACTTGCATGGACTCTCAAAGCTGTGGCTACTTGTCAGCTCTTGAAGGTTGCTTTGATTGGGTTGAATATTTCAGTTGTGATTCAAGTGGTTTCTTCCTCTATTTCTCACTGAGAGAGTAGTTTCCTGGCTCCAGCACCTTTCTGGAGGAAAATGATGGATTCAAAAAAGAGATATTAAGTCTAAGCATTTTGAACTTTTATCCATATTCATCACTCTATCATCCCATATCTAAACCATCTCTGCCAATGTGACAGAAACCACACCACCTCAGAAGTTCTGATACTGGCCTTGACATTCCTTAGTTTTATGACTTTGGCTAAGGCCTTTAACCACTGGGTCTCTCAGCCTCTTCATCTGTCAGTTGGATTATAATGTATCTCCCTTGCAAAGATAAGACAAATAATAATAATTAAGTCATGTTTATGCAAAAAGTTTACTGTTTTTTAAGTACACGATTATGCTGGTGGGTGTGAATCAAAGACCAACCCTGAAAATGGTAGCGAATCATACCCATCTCTGTCCTGTCTGAATAGGTCTCTCATTCTCTCATCAAATCCTCATCATGTGTCAACAAGCTTTATAGTCACAATAAAGTCACAAAACTCCAGTCTCTTCACTGGAGTTTACAGTCCAAACTCACAGTTCAGTGTTATTAGCATGCCCTAGTTATCTTTTTGTTAAAAATGGTAATATGTTTAGTGCTTTAGAGTTTATAAAGTTCTATATTATTAACTTGATTCATACAACAACCCAGGAATCTACCTGTGAAAAAGTTTATCTTTTTATTGTGGCTGTTGCATTCTGGTTGATGTCCCACCCCCTTTTGCAAATATTTGAAGTAATAGAAGTTCTAAGCCACACTTTGCAGATAAGAAAACTAAGACTCAAAAGATTCATTGGAAAAAGAAGAAATGGAAAATTAGTTGTAAGTCTATGGATAAGTCTAGATCTATTAATTATTAATATATATTCTAATTTTTTCTTGATAGTTGATTATCTCTTTTCTTTGCAATTGTTCTTACTGATATCAACCTTATCTGTTTTAACTTGTTCTACATTCAACCAGCAGTTGCTAAACTATATCTTTTAAAAAATTATAAATCTCTCACCTACTTATTTTCCTAGTCCCAAAGAAATACAATATGATATGATAAAATAGTGAGATGAGAGGGAGTAACTAGCCAACATTTTATAGTAAGTTTACAAAAGCAACCAATTTAAGTATTCCCCACAAATTATAAGTAATAAAACATTAGGAATAAGCTGCCTTCTAACACATCTTGAGACATTATTTTGTTGGAAGTACTTTATAGAATATCAGTTATGATGCTATTCAACTCTAAGCTCAAAACCAAATGTAAATTTTGTCTATATTGCTGTCACTGCTCCTCTGTATTTTTTGACTATTATTCCTGTTCACACGTAATCTGATACTCTAAGATTCAAATGTTCGTATTTCAAAAACACAGTCTTCTTTGAGAAGAAATAGGTCAGATTTCTGTAAAATATGTGTACTGAGCTATGCAGTAATGATTAAATGCCAGAAAAGTAGCATATATGTTTCAAGACAGTACAAAAGCTATTTAAACATGAGGAAAAATATTCCTATTCCCATTTTCCCCTCATTTGTTCCTGAACATAATCCAGGTTCAAGCATCAAATCAGCTAAGGGGTAAATGAAGTTACATCCCCAAAACCCCAACTTTAATAAAATGTCAAAGACTTTACCACTTTCCTTCAATGTAAACCCTTACAAACATGAAAAGAATAAAAATAAACCAGAACATCCAAGTAAATTTCAAAAGGCATTTACTATTAGCATTAATAATAGATGGAATAATTTATATTAGGTAAAACATACTTCTCAAATTTTTCTCATGTCAATTCATTGTTTACTGCCTACAATTTCTGGTCCTCAAATCGTATTGACATTCTTCACCATCTGAGAAACCAGGGAGGGCCCCTTCATAATCCTCAATAAATATCAGAAAATGTTAACAGTAGCAACTAAGGAGTCCAGAGCAGAGAATCTAGATTTCTTCAAAAGAAACTTTCAAAAGGAAATAATGGAATATGACACTTGGACAAGATGAAAAGACTCATCTTCCTTTGCTGTTTCACATAAAAAATGAAGAGTTTGTCTCATTATTTTCTGTTTTCCTCTCCTTTTTGACATACTTCTGGCATGTTATATCCTGTTCTCACAGTTTCCACAGTGAGATAAAAAAATTGAAGAGCCTAGCATTTTTGGACGTAATAAATTACCACCAGGAGAAATTAAGGTGATTGTCACCTATTGTCTTTGAATTTGATATTTTTTCCTTTCTCTAACTTCATGTCCTTCAACACCTACTACATTTCCCTACATCTGCTAAGGTCTCTTAGGAGGACAAATAGTAGGTAAGTCAAACAAAGACCAAAACTCTAAATAAGCTAATAATGGAAATGCAGGTGGAGGTTTTTTTTTCACATTTTAAAAAGGACAAATGTACCACTGCCAAATAGACATTTAACTAATAAAGAAACTGGCTCAGAAAAAGAAGTAAATTATAAAGAAATTATATCATTGGGTAGAAAATTATATGGAAAGTCAAATCTTACTAAGTGTGGTATTTTGTGGTTCTGCTATAATGGAACAAGACAAAATGACCTTCGATTGAGTTTCCATTTAACATATAATTTCTTATTACTAAGGCACTGGATCTGTACATAGGAAAATTCAGAGCTAGAAAATAAAGAACTTGATCAGTATCCAAACACAGATACTGGTTTGGATTATCCACATTAATCCAAATATGGATAAGTAATGAAACAGAATAATTATTTAATTACATGACCATTAAACACTTGGGAGGGTCAAAACTAAACCATAAAAAGAATCAATCTTAATTATTCACAATTTAAAATTTTATATCATTTACTCCACTTTTAATATTGAAGCATGCCTTCTTGTAATTTATGATTTATACCAAAATTGGGTTTTTTCCTTTATAGAGAAAAGAAAGGAATCCTTTATTTACTAAGAACTTGAATAATCAAAGGGCCAACTCATTGTGCTATTTTTTATTATTTGGACAATAGTATCACTGTATAGTCAAGTAATGATTTGGTCTTTGGTCCTTTGGATCTTTGATTTAGTCCTTTGGGCTTTTTTTGATATTACCAAGTTCCCTATTCAAGATGGAAACCTTGAAGTCAAGTCTAAGTCTGGAGACCCACTTAAGGAAGAAGAATTTGACAAATCAAAGATCAATCATTTGCTTGCTAAGTTCAAGCTCAAGAAGACAAAGAATATCAGGAAGAACAAAAAGACTAACTTTGCCTCTTGGTGCACCTTGGATGTCCAACTTAATGTTCTTTGATACTGGGACTGATGGTGATGTAATACCTACTAGACCAGACATAAACTATCAATCCCCTCCACTCCCAAACACAAATAGGTACTACTTACTCAGTTAACCAGCTTAATGCTTAATGTCTTTGATCAGATTTATGAATGTAAGAAGGCATTAAATGCAGATAAGAATTATTGACAGATCTGAATTCATAGACATGTAAATTAATTTTTAACATTAATGCTAAATGTATGCTGCTGAGAAATCATAGGCAAAATGATAATAATAAAATAATTTGCAACAAAGGAAGATGTTAAACACATGGTTCAAGAGGTTGGGAAATACAAAACAGGAAGTTCAAAGTCTCTTCTAAGAAACTCACACATATCTTTCCATACATTTCATGTTACAGATGAGAAAGCACTAAGTTACAATCTATAATAAAGACAGAAAGAGCACTCTTATCCAATTAGACTGCTGATCTGAAAAAAAGAAAGTACCAACAAAAACAGAATTATCTGTAATCCCATCATGACTATGCCAGAAGACTATGCAAGCTAGATGATCACCTGTAGCTTGTCACAGGTGTAGTAAGTCCACCTGGAGGTGTCAGCTCCAGATCCAAGATCAAGTAGGATGGCTAAGCAGTCCAGAAATACATCCTCTATTAAGCCTGGCACAAAATTTGAAGGACCTACATTTGTAGCAAAGTCAGTACAGTGGCAGTTTAAGAATCTCATTTCAGATGCCATTTCAAGTATTCTGAATCCTTGGTTATAAGTTTTATCAGCACCCTAGATTAGTGGAAAACACAATTCATGTCCTTTAAAATAAAGACTTATTTGAAACCAGCACCATTAAGCAAATCATGACAAACATCGCTTATTTTTAAAGGGCTTTTATTTAGGTTCAGTCTTCTAATGACAGAGGTAATGAATCTTATTTTATCCCATAGACTCCCCTGTTGCCCAGTATCCAGGAAGAAACACAAAGCATGCTTTGGCTAAGATTGGGGCTCTCTCACATTGTGAAAATTGGGGCGTTTCCTAGGGAGAAGGATAAGTAGCATTACATAATTAGATGTACCAAATTTTCTGCTTAGCAACAAATTTGGGCAAGCAAAAAAATGTATTCAACTTGGGTTACTCTGATGAATGCTATAGAGGCCCTTGGAAGCCTAGAAAAATCTTTTAGCCACTTAGGGATGCTAATTTGCAAGGGACAGAAAAGCAATATGCTAATTTTTGTAAACAGCCATTCTCTGAACAAACATGCTGGAACACTACACAAGGACAAGAAGAGAGAGTACATTACCATTATTCTCAGAGACACATAGTAACCTGATCCTGATATTCTAACTCAGTGGGGTTTTGTACAATTTTTCCTTCATGAACAGGACTGAGATTTCCGAAAATCCTTGTTTGGATGTAAAGTCCTTGTGCCTCTTCAGTCTGCAAGAGATTTAAATGTTTCTGTCTCCAAGGTAGTGCTTTCTCCCTTCTAAAAATATTTTTGTTGACCTACTTTAATTGGGCTCTTTAGGGAAAAAAATTTAGAAGTCCATCCTTTCTTTTTTTTTTTTAACAAACCCTCACCAGTTCAGAAATTTTACTGACAGCATTTTTGACATAAGTCCTACTTCTGTTTGACACTGCCAATAAGAGGGAATTCATTAGCTAAAAAATGGGTCACTCGACTTTTCAACAGCTCTAGTTGTTCTAAAGTTATTCCTTACATTCATTTTCAAATCTTCCTTTCTTAACATTTCTACCCATTCATCTCTACTTAGATATAGAAAAATTAAT